TTTTGAAGAAGCACTGCAGCCGCGCCGAACTCGTAGAAGCAGCTATCAAGTTTGGACTGGACCAGAAAATGGCTTCCAAGCTCAACAGTCGGAATCTTTCAGCAGTCATCCACGCCGCTCAATATGTGGCAGCCTGACTAGCTGTGTTGACGGAGAAGTTACCCCTCAATCGCCGGTATACCGTTTTTCAAGACACCTTGGAGCTAGGTGCAGCCTGCACGTTTTTTAAACACCACTGTGCAGCCGTCATCAAGGCACCCATTGTTTGGGCTCAAGGACTACTTCATTTATGCCTTATTTTTTATCACCAGTCCCAGAACAGCCGCGTCGGCAGTTCGTCTTTTGGCCACACCATGCAACTCCGTTTTCAGTCGTTGGGAGTCAACCCCATGACTTACACGTGGCCGTGGTTTCAATCCCCCAACGCAGTGTACGTCAAGCTCGAGGTTGATTGGCGCCTTTTTAAGAACAATGAAATATACCGGCAGCCATCCCCGAAGCTTTACATCGGATCTACTTCCATTTCTGCGTCCTTGCGCGAAAGCAATCGTATGTCCGTGTTTAACAAACTGAATCGGAATGAAGAAGCACAGGCAGAACTGGCCGTCCGATATTGGCAATCACAAGGCAATTTTGAGCGCTTTTCCATCATAGTGCTTGCCACGTTTCACTCTTATCGAGCCGCTTGGATCTCCGAGCATTGTTTCATTGATGCTTGGCAACCCACTTTAAATTACCCATTCATTCTGACACGTTTGCAACGCACTGCGCTTGGGTTCCGACCCACAAAGAAAAGGAGACGCCTGACTGAATGTTCAACACATGGTCTCCGGTTATGGCGCAAACTTAGGAAGCGACTTTTTTATTCCAGCCAACCCGCTGCCTTCTCAATACGAAGAAAGCAAGCGTGGGAAATCTTGTTTGATGTAGCTAGCCACACACTTGCTAGCTTCCGTGCCTGTACAGTACTTCGGTCCTCTCGGTATGTCAATGATGAAGTGTACGCAGTCATCAGGCTTAGCCTGACTCTGGAAGAGCCTTTACGCTCTCGCACCCGGCAACTGCTGAAACAAGTTGCCAATTATAGGCAGATGACCTGGCCTTCCAAGGCTGGAACCCTTTCTCTTCAGCCCATGGCTCACCGATCC